TTATTATTTCCGGAAGCAATCTTCACTGGCACAAGGATCTCCTCACAGCGACCTCCACTACGATAGAACCCGACAATGAGTTTACGAAGGCTTCGACTAGTGCGGGATAGGCTAATCACCAGACTGCTCTGGAATAGGTTAATCGCTGGAGACAAGAACGAGTGAATCTAGTTTCGAGAGCATGCCTGACTCTAATAGGGGGCGTAGAGTTTCTAAGTGAAGGCAAACGCAACTATATATGTAATATCCTAGCTGTCAGCAAGGCAGGTCCGCTATAAAGCCTACCGGCCAGAAAGTCCTTAAGAACGAGAAAGCCGACTAAAAGGCTATTCCATAACCGACTCTTGTTGCCGAGTCGAGGGGGCTTGGCTGGTACCAGGCTCTAAAAGAGTTTTCTTGCTCGCTCTGCGAAAACGGTTTTCTTTCGTCAAGCGCCTGTCTGCTTTCACGAACGTATAGTAACTAACTAGCCCTAAACCGTAACTGAAACACTCTCTTCTCCAACGAAAGCCGCCATCCAGATTAAGAAGCGGAAGCGGAAAGAGTTTACTGAAGAGGCTTTCATCTACTGCCTCCCTAACTAGAAAGAAAGAGGGGATCAAAAAAGCTTGAAACTAGTAAGGCCTTTAATAACAACGGCTAAAGTGAAAAGCCTACCGCCCTTACCTCTTCTCTACCCGGACCTAATCCAAGCACTGAATCGATCAAGTTAGTTGGTTTCCGCTTTCATAACAAATAAGGCGTAAAAGAAAGGTATTTTCTTGAAAGGTATATTCAAATAAACTTAGCTTACCAAGAGTTCCGGAACTAGAGAGATAAGAGATAGGATTTTTTCTCCATACGAGGAAACTCAGTCACGTCTATCTGATTGATCTCCTTGACCTGAGTCTCGGTTTTAGCGATATTCCCTCCTTCTTTCAGGCTCAAGCTCTGTCTGGTCTTCCTTCCCCATTCCCCACAGGCTTCCGGGTCTGTACTTTGTTCGGACCAGAAGACTTGCAACACTGACTTACCGAAAAATACTGACAGCTTTCCGACTTTTCGTTCTGCCTCTACTAGTAAAGGGGCTTTTTTCTTACAAGAAGCTTGACTTAAAAGGCTTGAAAGAGTTTTTTCTATGATAGGCTTGAACTGAAAAAACAGTTCTAGAAAGACGCTGTAAATAATGAAAAATCCGTCTTTCTTCTATAAAAAAAGCTATTCTCTAAGCCAACTTATACAAAAAAGTAGTCCTAAACCAAGGAAGACGCTTGAGTCTTTAGACTTAGACTCACGCACAACGGCTTCAACAAGAACTATATGAATAGCATAGCGTTGTAGCGCTAGTCTAAACTAGAAGCCGTTGCTTGTTTTGTTTTTTAGAATCTAAAAGGTCTCGTCTTTCCGCAATATATGGCAGAGGGACTGGTAGGTTCCTTTCTTCATTCGGATAAAGATGGCACTTCGTCGTTGAATGTGGAAGTTCGGGGCCACAGCACCTCCTTCTCCGGAATCCCCCGAATCAGATGTGGGGTCAATGGGAGGACCTTATCAACCATAGGAATGCCCGATCGACTCTCAATTGCTTGTGAAAGATAGCTATTCCTCCGCTTTGATGCTTTCTTCTGCTGATTCAATAGCAGCTCCCATTTCAGAAGACCGAAAGAGAGTAGCTGCCTTTCAAGCAGACTAAGAATCCGGTATTCCATACTATTCCCCCAACCTTGGGCAATTCTTTTCACAGCTAAGCTTATCGTTCTGCCATACTAGACTTTCTATTGATTGAGACCCATATTGAAAAAGAAGAACTTTTTATTAATCAAGCAAGCATTCCCACCTCCATCACAACCGAAGCCAAGGTCTCTGCAGAAACCATAGCACCTCGCGTCAGGAGCTGGCTTAAGCGACTTCCTTTAGTTGAACTGGTGGCGGTCAATTGAATCTTAGCCAGTGAATGAATTGCGCCAGTGAAAGTTCGAAAAGAGCGACTCGACTGTCAAGCAAAGATCGTTGGCTTTCTTTGCTCTGGGCGCGTACTTTCACTCTGGAGTGAAAATGCCAGCTATCTTGCTTTCTCTTTGCCTCTCTCTGAGCGGTGCTCCACAAAATGCCGACTGGTCCTCTCAAACCCCATATGCTTAAAAAAGCAATTCGAGACAAGAATGTTTGTAAAGTCCGGCGATGACTCGGGAAGAGTCAGCCCTTAGACAAATTCTCCTATCGGAGGAAGATGCCGGCCTGTAGGCTGTTTAGGGCTTTTTACCCCTTGTAGAAGGAGAAAGAGAAGGAAAAGAGCTAAGATTCAGCCTTTCAGCCGGATAGGATTTTACATAGGTTGACTGGAAAAAGACTTTTTCTGCCGTCTTGCCTTTCATGGCGTAAGGGCGGTTTTGCCTATCTTTTTTCGTGAAGCCGACTTACCCACTACCGTAGAAAAACTGAAATTCTGATTCCTGGTGTGGTGTTTTGCATCCGAAACGAGAAAATGGAGGCGTCAAGCATCTATATGACCAAGAGGGCCATCCCACGAATTGGATTCGAACCAATATCAAGCTACTTTCCTTTTAGTAGATCGTGAGTGGGTCTGTCGTCCTCCTCATTATAGTCCGCCTAGAATCCATAGCATTTCGTCGGAATACATCCTGTCTTTTCACCTTAGTAGTCCTATGCATAGTCAGTACTATAGCCCCAATCATGGCTACTAATAAAATCAGACTAGAAACCAAAAACCAGACGAAATAGTAGGTATAAAGTAAATTGCCCAATGTTTCCAAATTAGTCCAACTTCGTACCTTTCCGGCATAAACCGTATATCTCAGAGAGGTCGTATTTCTTTGGGTTGGTAGTAATGGAATGCTTTCATTATCTAAAATGAAGAACATCTCCCACCAAAAGATCAGTCCAATAATACCACTCACTGGTAAATAGCGCAATACTTCTTCGTGAATCTCCGCTATTTGAATATGGAACATCATAACAACGAATAGGAATAAAACGGCTATAGCTCCTATATAAACTACTGGGAAGATCATAGCGAAGAAGTCGAGACCTAACAAAATAAGTAAACATGAAGTGTTGCGAAAGACTGGGATGGGAAACAAAACGGAATGTACCGGATTTTTAGCACGTACAACCATCAAACCAGAGACCAAAGCAGGGCTCGACAAAACAGAAAGTATCATAGTACGTCGTCCTTCCCTGAAATGGAACTTTCATGCTGGAGCAAGAACTAGCATGAAAGTCGATCTATTACGACCAGCGCGGTTGTTCGTATTTCATTTTCGTTTTACAAGGCAAACTGCACTGAGTTACTTACGAAAGTTGTACCGAGGGGGTGTGCAACGTCCTTCCCCATATTCTATTGAAAGAAACCCGATCATCAACAGAGGCCCTTTCCCCCCCAACCAACTTGAATCTGAACTACGATTCAGATCACGTCTAGGTCACCCCCGATATAAGACATTTCCTTAGATATTCTAGTTAGACCGCCTTCGCCTCTAGGAGAACGGAAACTCCCTTTCTCTCGGGATTCCCCTTTTCTTGCTAAAGACTTTGCGTACTAAGATGCAAGCTCGATAGGAATTAGGCTTTAACCCTTTAGCTTACCTTAACTGAACCCAATCCCATCCTTCTCGTTCGATCCAATTCCATAGCCTCTACTTTCTTTCCTTCCTTATCAGAGAGGGGCCCGCGGGGCTTATTTCTTTCAAATATTAAAAAAGGGGGAAGGAAGAATGGAAAGCCCTCACTTTATTGATGGGACATTTTGATCCCCTTTTCCTCTCATCCTCCCCCGGTTCTGGTTCAGGAAAGGGTCAACGCAAGGATCTTACTTCGAAGCAATCTCTGGAGTTTTCCCTTATCCGAACGGGTCTTGCAAGAAAATAGGATTTCATATTGAGCTCCAAATATACGCTATTGGGATGGGATGGCTCCTACTAGCTTTCCCCCCCTAAGAACCGCACGTGCGAGTTCCCCCGCATACGGCTCAAGTGGCGAAGGCCCTTTCCTTCGCGCTTGGTAAGCGCTTCGCTGTAGTCAAGCTTACTGCTAGCCTACCGCCTAGAGCCAAGCTTCGACCGCGACTGCTCGTCGCTTCTGGCCGCCTTATTCCGTCACCCGAGATCCAAGTCAGCACCGGCAAAGATCTCTTGATTCCTCGCGGCCGGGCCGGCTTGGAAGCAAGCTACCTCTTGCCTATCTCACCTCCTTTCTTCTTATTAGTAAGATAGGTTTGGAACCCTTTCCCCTTTTAATAATAAGGTAAGCTTCCAAAGCTCTTTCCTTCAGCTGGGTGAGCCTTCGCTTTTTGGATCGTCTTCTGCCCAATGCGGTACCCCCCGGTTTTTGGTTCCCATTGGGTTTACCTTGTTCACAGGTCGACCCCATGGCAGCAAGAAAAGGCGATCTTGTGCTATACTCCGGTGATCTCTTTCCTACCGAGACACGCAAACTCCCATCGTGTCCCAGATCACATTCCGTGAATCGAAAGGGAAAGCCTACTCATCTATCAGCTCCTCTCGTAGATCGGTGCGGTTTTACGAAGCGTCTAAGCACAGTTCACTCGCGTTGATCAATCTTCAGTGTTGCCGCCACTCCTTAAGGTTATCTGTTGTATCATACACTTCTTTCATTCTTTCCCACGCTTCATACCTCCTCTTTCTTCTTTTATATTAGCACAAACAAATATCTTTTTTTTTAAGAGTTTATTTGTTGTTGTTAAGTGAAAAAGGTAAAGGGCCAGGCATGGTGGGGTAGGAGCATCCAGTCGGCAATCTTTTTGGCTTGACCAAGAAGTCTTATGTCCTCCGAGTCGCACGGCGTTTTAACCGAAAGAACTTCTTGCGCAATTCATGCGTTTCTGTTTTTATGACCAGAAATTGTTTCTTTATTTTCATTTCAAATTGTTCTCTGGACTTTTTATCAATATGAGGTGATCGTAACACAGTATATAAGACTCGTGATTCAGGCAATCCAATCTTCCGTGTGTAAGGCGGAAGCCCCCAAAAAAGGTTTTCGAGAAATGGGTGATAAAAAGATCGAATTACTATGCGTATCTTGGTGGTCGTTACTTTTGGTGGTCTTTCTTTTTGGCTGACTCCTCTTCTTGTTCTATTGATCAGAAGCATCCAGCAGCACACGCCGGTTTATAATTAGATGATAAGGGCTAAGGTTCCCCTCCGCCCAGGCGCGGAGAGTGTCCACATTTTTCTTTGTTCCGATCTCCAGTTTCTGAGGGTTCTATTTTCACACCGCGAATCCAACTATATGAGAATGAGATCGGAACTCCAAGTTTTTTATTGTACTCCAAGACGTCGTTTACCGTCTTTATATGATTGACAACAAATGATTCCCTCCAGACAGAAAGAGAGTCCTTACTGTACGAGTAGTTCAGAATTCTAGTGAGTTTTTGTTGGTTGTTGACCAACGGAAAGCATGGGAGAAAGATGCACAAAGGAAACTGGAAAGAACTCATTTCTCAGGAGCAATATCAACTACCTAGACCGACCTGCTAAAAGAATTCCATAAACACCTAGCGAAGATACTGTACTGAATGACTTGATCGATCGTACTAGATAGATAGTCTCAGATAGACAACCTTTTATACGCAATTCCTCGATACCAATCTCGCACTTGACACGCAAAGCAATAAACAGCAGTCTATCTTCACAGAGAAAGAGAGAAAGATGAAAGCACTGTACCAAACTACAGGGGAAACCAAACCTTTCTAGTGAAGTCTTCCTATTAGGCGCTGTGTAAGAGCTCTATGCCATCTATGGAATAGCGGCCAGTGCTGCTTGATTGACTGCTTGAAAGTTGAAAACCCAAGTCTTGGAAGGCAGGATATTGGGATCAGACTGATCATCATCAGATAAGAACTCAAAGGAACTAGTGGAAGTACTGTTCCCTGCACTCCCAGAAAGAGTGTGAATCATACGCCGGATGTAATTAGATAGATATCATCAAGATTCTATAGTCTAGTGGAGTAGCCTCTGTGCCACATATACTGGGCGATTGAGTTCGTTCGGGACACGTGGGCCAAGAAGCTCTAGGCAATTCTCACGATCACGGTCGATCATGGTTCAACTCCATGTCGTGAAAGTGAAACCAATCATTTCTTTCATTAACATCAACGAATCACTATCTTTCTTTCATCTTGATCGACTCAATTAAGGAAAGGCGTCGAGAGCGAAAGCTCTGATGTGAGGCTGTTAACCTCAGTCTGAGGAGTGCGAGAGTTGTGACTTTAGCACTTTCAGATCCACAGTGGGCATCTTAGGTGGTCTGGGAGTCACATCCCATTCATATCTAAGTCTCCTACGTAATCTGTAGGGATACATATTCTTTTGGTTTGAACACGATCAGCGCCACCCATCAGCAGGGCAAGACCCTGCGGTCAAGGCGAGTTGTCAGGAGGAGATCATTTTGTTATTGTGTGAAAATGAAACGTGTAATGTTTCCTTCTCGCACAATGACTCAATCCCAACTGACATGGAGACGGGGAACGACTATTGAACAGACCCTTTTCTTTTTGACTCGTTTCTTTCTCTTTCTCATTACGACGCTTATCACCTCAACTGCCATTCCTCAGGGATTCCAATTGAAATATGAACTGAGGACGGAAATTTGTAGTATTTCTGTTCTCCAATCTGACCAATAAAGGACAATGATCAGACTGATGCTTAGGGAGGTGAGACACAGAGGCACTCTCAAACATTTCTCTCCAAGCCGGATTGCAAAGAACCCGGTCAAGTCTAGCAGCACTCAGAGTGTTACCCCCTACTCCAAGTGAATTTAGAGCCATAATACCCCATGTCAATCAAACCATGATCAAAAATCCATTCAACAAAACCAGCACTACGTCTATTAGAGATTCGGCTGTTTGAACTGACTTCCGTAGAAGAGGTGACAGAGTGAAAGTCTCTTACAGCAAGCCAGGGATCAGAAAGATCAATACTATTGCTAGCCAAATCCTGCCACAGAAAATTACGAAGACTTGCATTGGGACTACCATACACAACCGAAAGTAACCAGGGTTCAGTGCCACATTCAAGGAAGGCTCAAAGCCAGGCTTTAGGAAAGATTTACGTATCACTATGAATATTCATACGCACCTGCAGCGGAGCAGTTTAGTAAGTGTCTGGCAAAGAGCGAAGAGCTAAAGCGAGAAGATATGTCTTAACCTGCTCTTTTTCACGAATACCTTTCTAGTGGACTTGGATAGAATGCCCATAAGGAAGAAGTCCTAACTCGCAATCGATCTTGTCGGTCTCGGAATATCCCATGGTATTGAATCCGTTCCGGCTTGAGGGCTAGGATAGCCGCATTATCTATTATTCGAAGTTTGGCAGGCCGCATTGATCGAATAGATGACTAAGGCTAAGAACTGATATAGATAGTCATATTGGCCTCTCGCACAGCCAGACTTTGAGTTTGCTGATCCTCCTCCACTACTTTGAATACCTAAAACTGATTCAAGAACAGCTGCTCACTCGGTCGTTGGGAAATGGGTAAGCGATAGGAATAGTTTCGACCGACCTTGGAAGACAGCTTGATGAGAGCCAGGTGGGAATCGGTACACTTAGAGTACGGCGGTATGCGAGGAGCAAGACAGTATGCAATCAATAAAGACGAACGAGCAAGCTCACTCATAGTACGGTAAATTAGCACAAAGAGCATCAGCCAGTTCTTTCAGCATTAGTAAAGTAAGCTGGAAAAAGGAAGGACAGCAAGCCAGGAAAAAGAAATTGATAGAGGCCAGATATGCCATAGCTGTTGAATATCTAGCTTACAAACAAAAAACCTATATGAAAGCAGCCTTGATTGCCAACAGATTTGATTGCCGCGGATAAGAGATAAGTGAATTTTCTTTTCCTTCCCTCCGCATCAGAATAGGTATCCAAGTCTGCGTTAACCGACAAGGGAATGTATTTTTTTCATCCATGAAAGACTAAACAGAGGCGGGCGAGCTTGCCGGTGTGATACACCTACCCATCACGATGAGTTCTCGTTCGAAAGATCGAAAATTGGAAAAGAATGTATGTAAAGATCCCGTTCTGTTGATCTTTGGCCTGTCTTAGCCTCATCGATTTCACAAATGAGTTGAACACTCATTGCATGATCATTAGTAGGATCAACCAGAAAGGTATCACCTGACCTTGAAAGGAGATCCGCCTATGACTATCGGTCAGCGCCTAGTCTCTTTCTGGCTTATGAGCTCGCCTAAAGCTTAGCGAAATGTGAACTTTGGGGTGTGTATCAAGGTCTCCTGCTAGCTTGGGATATGGTTATTAGACGAGTCATTTTGGAGATTGATAGTCATTTCAAGGAGAGAAGCGTGGGTGCTAATGGGAATTCTTCGTTGCTGGCTAGTCTATTGCAATTACTTGATTTATATAGGGAAGTATTCATTCAGCATGCTTATAGAGAGTCCAACTTCT